AAGTGGAGACAGAGAGAGAGAGAGAGAGAGAGAGAGAGAGAGAGAGAGAGAGAGAGAGAGAGAGAGAGAGAGAGAGAGAGAGAGAGAGAGAGAGAGAGATATGGAAAAGCTCAAGACACTGCCGTGTCGGATGTTCGAGAAACCTGTCAGAATTTCTAACTGCAGTCTGGACAGTTTCGGACTTGTAGTCCCAACTCCTGATTAGATTATAGATTACAATCAACCAATGCAGAGCCGCGTTAAGGCGAAGCAGGTCCTGTCGAATAGGGTCGCATAATCGGGACTCGCCAAGGGTCAATCCAATGGCCACTGTGTTAGGGCGACTGTAGGTTCACCGTCCCTGTAATTTACAACCCTGTCCTCTCGGCCACCGCAATGACGTCTTATCTGTCCGTGGTAAGGGCAGTGCAAGGAGCATTCACACATTTGTAAAGGGTTTACATTAGCCCCCTATTCACGGGATAACGTTATCGGCCAACTATATAGAGGAAGTGGCTGACGGATCTGGCCAGGGGAGCTTGCAAATTAATATGGCGGATCGAATGAAGGCGAGGAGTGGTCAGGGTGGCATTTTGGGGAGAGGGTGCGCGTGATGTCAGAGGCGTCGGTGACTTAGGGGTTAGTCCCTCGGACTTTTAACCATAAGGTCGTGGGTTTGAATCCCGACGTTGGGTGCTCGGGTAAAGCACTTTGCGCGAATTTTCTTCATTTCACCCAAAATGAAATGGGTATCCGGCTATAGACAGCGAAAGAATTCATCGTTTTTTTGTCTTGTTTTTTATTTGCGAGCTCATGCAATGCACAGCTTGCACTGTATGCTCCCAGAGAAGCCAAAAATATTTCTGAGTGTTCTAGGGTCTGTTGGGGTAATAATAACCACAAAGCGCATGCTGTAGAGCGGGGATATAATGCGCTATATAAATGCAGTTATTATAGAGTCTTATTTATTGGGAAAGTGAGGTGGTTTGATTAAGATTTATTGAGAAGCTTAGTGAGCTCTCTCAAGGAGTGGCGGGTTCTTTTGCCTTTTTTGTGGTTTATATTTGAGTTTTTCATATCACCAATTGGGTTCAGCTTAGCGTTGTAAATTATAGCCTACACATAATATGTATTATCAGTTGCAGGGTTATTATTTAATGTAGATATATTTCTTTTAATTAAAAAAAATGAAACGCGAAAAGGGGGGGGGGGGGGAGGGGGATGTACTATTACGTTGTGGAGAGTTTTGGGGAGAGGTTAGAGAGAGTTCAGAGGGACTTTGTCAAAATTGTAAACCACCACCCCCCCCCCCCCCCCCTGCCCACGTTGGCGAACACTGAGTTTCGGCTCCTCCAGAATAGTGAAGTGGTGTGCGGATACAGTGAAGTGGTCTTGCTGCCTTTCTTCGAGTCTCCTCTTTTCTTTGTTCGATACCCTAGTGTAGGGAGGTACACATAGATAGCTGAATGTGGGTGGTTGGTGGATGCTCCAGTGTGGTCTGTTCCTTCTTTCCTGTCAAACATATTTCTTCCTTATCTGCCTGCTTTTTTTTTGTATTTCACAGTATGTTACTACTCTCTACTTCCACTTCAGATCATCGGCACTTCTATATTATTTGACGCATTGTGTTGGAAGTGCGGTATAAATTTTTATCAAAACTAAAAATAATGTTAAATACATGTTGCTGTGTGCAGCTGAGCCGAGCAGAATGACTCATTGCGTGAGAACAGACCTTAATCTATGGCTTGGATGCTCTGCCTGTCCCCCTTTTGATGGCCATGAGCGAGCCCCCCTCCCCTTTCCCCCAAATTCTTCTTCTATTTGGGTACTTTGCTCTTATATTCCTGAAAAGTCTAGAGAAGTTCAGGGATTGCAGATACCGGTACTCTCATGTTTTTTGTTTTTTTTAATTGTAAATGATCATACAAAATAAGTGTCCAGTCTTTGGAGAGCTCAGGTGTACATCTACTTATCTTGCAAGATACCTTGCTATGACGTTGAGGAATATTGTTTGATATGTTTTGTTGTTTGTAGTTGTCAGTGGTATGCAGACTCATTCTTTGACTCCTAGTCTTATGATATGATTCCATAACATTGAAGCATATTTTTTTAGCTTTGGTGTAATCTGACCTAGCTCCTCTTTGCTCCTGCTGATGCCCTCCCCCTCCCCTAATATCTGTTCACAGTTACTGGATTTGTTGCGGGTTGTCTTTGTTTTTTTAGTCTGAAATCTGAAAGACTTACTTTTTTCCTTTTTCATTTGTGTGAAATTTATGTCAGCTAAATTTTGTTTTTCTCTCAGAGAGAGGCTGCCTGGAGATGGAGAAGCAAGCTTTGAAGACTATGATGATGATGAGGATGATGATGACGGCGATGCTCTTGACAATTTTGAAGGCAGTGTCTCTGACGGTGAGCTGTTAAAGAAGTTAATACTTCTACTGAAGGTCTTTTATTTTGCTATGTTTGGTGCTTGAGAAGGTATCTACTAAAACCATACAAAGAAAAGTTACAAACATGTTTAGAACTGTCAATTTTTATAAAAGAGATGTTAAATGAAATGATTAGTCTCAATTCCAGAAGATCATGAGAAGTTGCGGTTGTTTAAAAGAAAGTTCTTTGAACTGGACAAATTACCTGTACATTTGTGTATATCTTGGCACACTTTTTGTGATAAGTTCTCAGAGCTGCACAACTTACCAATTACTTGTTTGATAACATTCCTAGTAGGGCTATGTTTTATCAAAGATTTCTGCAGTGTCTCTCTGTGTACGAGTTAAAAAGTCCAAAGCAATGTCTCTTCCTTTTTTTTCTCCTGCAACTTGTCAAACACCAAGGGCTAATCAACAGTGAGAACAATGATGCTGTTATTGTTTTGTATTTTCATTGTTTACCGCCCTTCTAAAAACTTTTTTTTTCAAGAGAAGTGTCTCTGTATGCGTGAAGATTGAAATAAAGTTCCAAATGTTGATCCACAGCAAAATGTGATGATATTGACGTGGAAATTTTATTCATTTCTTCGTATCAAAAGGGGAATCGGACGGGTACTCCATCAACAGCCGTGGCTCATCAGACAGACGGTCAGCATCAGGTCGACCCATGACCTCACAGTCAGCTGGGATAGTGGGAAAACAAGATGAACTACTGGGGGAGAAAGTGAAAAGCCAGGCACGGCCAGCAACTGCTTCAGGAAATATAGTGATTAAACCCGCTCTGAGGTTCAGCTTGTTCAAGAATATTCCACCGACTGTCAACTTTGTGGGAGAAGGAGAGAAAAGTATGATATTTCACTTTTGTAGAATCAACTGGACACTAAATTATTGTTTCATTGTCATATGAATTAGATGTATTTAGTTACACATGTCCTTCAATATTGAAATTTAGTAATGATAGGGATGATAATAATGATGAAGATTTGAAACAGACAACACCACACTCTCCTCAAGACTTGTAGAACTTGTACCCCAGACTCAGCATAATTGTCAAAATCAGGAATCATTGACATTATCAAGATTGTGATTGGCAGGTAGAGACAGAAAGTTCTTTCTCCCTTCGATGCCCTAGAGGTGCAAGGGGAAGGATAAAGTAAAGTAAGTAAGTAAGATTGTCAGGTTTTCATGTCATTGAAGTAATGAAAGTTAACAGGGTAGGTGTGAGTGTCACAATGAATTAAAGTCTTTTTGCTCTCATTTTAATCATTACAGCTGAGCAGCTACCATGGGAGCTTCGAAAACTTTTGAAGTGGAAGATGAGCCCAATAACACCAATTGTTGTGAAACGGGCAATAGGCAGAGTTGGTTTCAGGATATCTAAAAGTGAGTATTTAATAAAGGATATTGATGACCAACCCTCCTTGTATTTCAAAATACTTCTAAAGATGAAACAGTTGGAGGGTAACTATTTCATTCATAGCAAGATATTCAATGCCCCAATTTTTTATTTTTACCTAAGCTATCTGTTTATTTCTGCTTCTTTTTGTTTGAAATAGCTATAATTTGTTGAATATCCTTAAAAAAAAAAAAGACTTTATCTGCCCTATAATGACTGATCTGTTAAACAGAGCTTTTATAGAATTGTAATAGTCTCTTTAAAGATGATGCAAATTGGTTTTATTGTAATTTTAAAAAATAATTATTTCCAATATACCCAAATGAAAATACATCACAGTTATCTTTGAAAATGTATTTGGAATTTGGATTAGATTTCTATTACTTTAAGAGGTGTGTGATCTTTTTTCATGCCTTTTCGTTTTTACAGCATACATAGCAAAATTTGTTTTCAGTATGTGAGAACGAAACAGTTGTATCTTTTCCCTATTAAATGTAAAAGACCTTTCTTATAATGTTGAGTATTTATTTCCCCTTCACCCTGTCTAGGAAACCATGACTGGCTTGGCTGCTTCGGTAAACACATGAAAGCTCAGTGTTTCAAATCACTCCGAGAGTATCAAAAGGTAATAAATTGAAGAGTCGGATGGGCTGACAAATTGAGAAATAGAGAAGAAAAGAAAAAGAGAGAGAGAGAGAGAGAGAGAGAGAGAGAGAGAGAGAGAGAGAGAGAGAGAGAGAGAGAGAGGATGAATGAAAGAGAGAAAGGATGAATGAAAGAGAGAGGGAAAGAGAGAGAGAAAGAATGAATGAAAGAGAGAGAGAGAGAGAGAGAGAGAGAGAGAGAGAGAGAGAGAGAGAGAGTAAAAAGAGAGAAAGGATGAATGAAAGAGAGAGAAAGGATGAATGGAAGAGAGAGAGGGAGAGAGAGAGAGAGAGAGAGAGAGAGAGGATGAATGAAAGAGAAAGGATAAATGAAAGAGAGAGAAAGGATGAATGAAAGAGAGAGAGAGGGAAAGAGAGAGAATAAGAATGAATGAGAGAGAGAGAGAGAGAGAGAGAGAGAGGAGAACAGAAGGGAAGTGAGCAGTCAGTATGCACAGACACATTTTTTAACTGTATTTTTCCTATTTCAATTGCAGCTGAACCATTTTCCAGGATCATTTCAAATTGGAAGGAAAGATCGCTTGTGGAGGAATCTGTCTCGTATGCAAGTGCACTATGGAAAGAGAGAGTTCAATTTCTTTCCACATACATTTGTTTTGCCTGCAGACCTGAAGCAGTTAAAGCGTGCTTGGGAAGATGGGAACTCCAAGCAGAAGTGGATCATAAAGCCAGTAAGTGGTCTTATATTTTTAGAATTTTAAAGTAGGGCTGGGCAATGAGTCGCTTTAGCAATATCCGGATAAAATATTAGTGCACCTCTTCGGCGATTAAATGTGTTATGAAACGCTTCGGCAAATGGGTTGGAACCATTTCAACAAATGGGTGCACCCACTTCGGCAAACGGGTCATGAAAGAGAGTTTAAGAGTCTGAATTCAGATCATGTTTCTCTGAGAATTATCTGGTTATCCGTATTTTGCCCACCACTAGTTCAAAGGTAGTTAACGGGAGGAGCTACCCTTGAGGACCTTTTTCTATGTCTGTTGCCCAAGATCAAATCTAAGTACACATATGAGTTAGGCATAGTAAAATCTCTTGATACGCCATTTTATTTTGGCATAGCCACAGCGGTTGCTATGGAAAGGGCCGCCATCTTGAAAATAAACAATGAATTTCAAATCCCTAAGGCTTTCTTATTTACCGACTAAATTTGACCAAATGTGGTGAGAGTATACCTGAACCAGACCCTATCAGAGTAACAGCAAGCTTATTTCAATAAGTGCAAAAGAAAAAAATATATGAGAATTTTCCCAAAGTATAAAAAACTTTAAAAAACTAAGGAAGGAGTAGGGAAAATACGGCAAAAAAATTTCATTTTGCGAAAACTGACTATTGTTGTGAAAATTCACTATATTAACCCGTCGTCATGTTTTCAAAGGCAATTTACGTGGAGAATAACACTTTCTCAAATGTATCCATGCTATTTTTGGACAAAAAACTGGTTGATCTTCAAAAATCAGCCAACAGAAAATTTGCATAGCCTGACCCAAAATCTGCCAAATCAAGGGTCGCTCCTCCCCTTAATATGGCATTCTCTCTCTATACTTAATTGAGCTTCAAAAGGCAACTGTTGTCTTTGATTTCGCTTTGTCTTACATTTGACGGACAGCTCATAAAGTCTCCTGTAATGTATTTTATTCCAACTTTGAAAATATGAATTTTGAAATCAGAAGTATGTATTTTGTTAGAGATTCTAGATTTCCCTAGTGGCTGTCTATTCTGTTTTCTGTATAATAATGTTTAATACCCCAGGCTTGTTTGCTGCTCAATATTTTCTTTTTATGTGTACAGATGTTTTCGCTCCCTCCCATCCCCTTCCTGGCTCTTCTTCTTCCTCCCATTCTTCACATTCCCTCCTCCATCTTGCGAAAGACGTATATGTCATCAGATTTTCATATTACAATTTATACAGTACAACTGTTGTGTTTTATATCACTTTTTGTCTTGCTATTGTCCAGCCTGCTTCAGCCAGAGGTATTGGGATCAGAGTTATCAGCAAGTGGTCTCAAATCCCAAGAAGAAAGCCAGTCATAGTGCAAAAGTGAGTATCCTTCATGCATACCATGGCTGTGTCAAGAAAAAGATTTCTCCCCTGAGATGTTGTCATATTTTATGTACATGATAACAAAATTTCAGCTGTTAAGTACATTTTGGAAGAAAATGTAGAACTTGATGAGTTTTTTTTGGTTTCAAATGCAGAGTTACGGTTCCAAATTTGGTGTGTGATTTTAGTGAATTTAGCATAGTAAAAAAATTGTGTAAATTTTTCTAAAAATCAAGTAAAGGTTGTATGTTACGTCACTTTCGATAAGTTAAAAAAAAGAAAAATCAGAACATCTACTTTGGTTCTGTTATATTTTTGTTATCTATTTTTTAAAAAGTTTGAATGGCATGAGGAAGTTGGGAATGATAGCCAAACAATTGCCCTTTGATATATGTGATATCTAGCCGCTTTAATTTAGATTTTGAGCAGTGCTGTACTGCCTATTATGACGGGTAAAAAACACAGATGTCCTTTCTCATGCTTGCTAGGTTATTTCATTAGTTGTGGCCGCCCACTGTTCATCTTAGTTGAAATGTATTGATGAGCATTCTGTGTGTCTCTTCTCAGGTACCTTGCTCGTCCATACCTCATCAATGACAGCAAATTTGACATGAGAATCTATGTGTATGTGAGTTCGTACGATCCCCTCCGCATCTATGTGTATGAAGACGGCCTAGCTCGTTTTGCCTCTTGCAAGTAAGTATTGTGTGTACATTTTAGAAATTTCCTAGTGCATCTATGATAAATAAAGTTTTTTTTTGAAAACTTCGGCTTTCCCATGGAATCAAGAAATTTTCATTATGTGGATGATTTGTGCAATAATGAACATGGGCTATAAGGGATTAAGGAAGGCTTTGAATTGGAACTAATGTTAATGTGATTGGAAATTTGATCATGATTGTACATTACTGTTTCAACTATAACACTGAGTTCTTCAGTAAAGACTGGTCGCAGGATAGGCTTCATGAAGAAAATGATTGTCAAACCTTTTTTTAAGAACCCGATGTCCACAAATGCAACTAATCACTTCATCTTCAATCTATTTGAGGAATCCTCGTTGTTCTCCTTCAGCCCTACTTCAGATGATGAAGGAGGTGGGTTACATTGTCTTCAAACAAGAGAAAAACTCAAAATGCACTGGAGGCTTAAAATTGTGGAAGGGCATGAAGTCTTGGTATTTCAGTTGATTTGTGGCCATCGTGTCTGAGATGAGGATTTTGTTATTCCGTCGTTTTCCTCCCACAGATACTCTTCATCCATGAAGTCACTGAACAACAGATACATGCACCTCACCAACTACAGTGTGAACAAGAAGAACGCAGAATACCTGAACAATACAGACAACACTGTATGTCAGGGGCATAAATGGTAAGAAGGAACTCGTACAATACTAAGGGAATGATATTTTGACCACATGATCTTTGTGCAGGTTATGTCATTTTTCGTCTTTTTTTTAGTTTGCTCAGGGTTTTTTTTGGGGGGGTCTTTTCGTGCATCTGCTCCCTCTTTGTTCTAGTGGCTGTAAGTGAGCTGAAGGTTGTAGCCAGTCGGCTATCCTGCCTACTGGGAGGGTTTCTCTCCCTCTCTGGTAGGGCGCCACATTTATGTCACAATTCTTTTTGTGTAGGAGAAGCATTTTTGTTCTCTATTTACTTACCTTGTCTTCTACTCAGTTCTCTTTCATACTGATCTGTAACCCTAAAATTGAATAGTTTCTTCAAAATTGTATTATTTTCTATCTAATAGGGTGTTGCACTCATTCAAAAACGAAAATGACCAGACCTGATGAATCACAGAAAGACATTTTTGACATACATGTACTACTCACCTTGTTTGTCCGTTTGATGAATGGTAGTTTTATTTAAGGAATTATGTCTGTTTTCATGAGCCAAATATGTTAACTCATAATTTTGACTACCTAGTTTTAGCTGTGATTTTGAATAAGGTCTGAAGAACTGTTAAGGGTTGATGGTTGTAGTTTTGTTTACGAGAGTAATCAAGTAAAAATACGCGGTTTCGGGTTTCCTTTATTTCTATTACTTTGCATAGGACAATGTCTATTGAATCCCTTGTTTACTGGTTATATTGGAAGCCATCATTAACAGTAAGCAGAATTGTTTAATCATGGGTTCTTTTTCTGATTTTTCAAGGAGTCTGAAAGCACTATGGAATTTCCTGAAACGGCAAGGCATCAACACAGCTCTCATCTGGGACAATATACGAGACCTCATCATCAAGACTATTATATGGTAATGTGGTGACTTTCTATTATATGGTAATGTGGTGACTTTTGGATTTTAGTTTCTACATAAGAGCAAGTCTTTGAGCACAAAATGAATAAAAAATGTTATTATTATGTTTTTGTAAGCCAAGTTACTGTTAATATCAGTATAAGTAAATTTAGACCTCCCTTTTGGAACTGACTTGACCTAGTATGTAGAGCCAGGGTCACTGGGGGACTCATAGCGGGGATGGTGCTATGTCTTACGGGATCATAAAACTGCTGGCTTTGATCGTCTGTGTGCTCAAAGAAATAGGGGCCTATACTTCACTTTAACCTTTTTAGTAATTTATACTGAGAATGAGGACTGAAATTTACTGTCACACCCTCTGCATCGAAGGTGTCCCACAAAATGGGTACTGGTAATGAAAATTTTTTTTAATGGAAGTCCCTTACGGGCTGAAAATATATATGCCAACAGTGTTACTGGCGGTAATGTCTTTTTTTATGTAAGTATGAGAGGTGCAGATTCATTCAATGTATTTTACTTAATTACGGCAACATTTTCTGTTTTTCAGTGGTGACTCTGCTATCAACAGTATGACCAAGTCGAATTCTCGCAGCAGGTATTGCTGCCATGAGTTGTTTGGTTTCGATATTCTCTTGGATGAGAACCTCAAACCTTGGATTCTGGAGGTTAACATATCTCCTAGGTATGTATCCTTAACTTAAAACAAGCTTAGCAAAAGGAAGCACATATTGTAGGTAGACTGGCAGGCTTTAGGTCTTATGGCAATTGTTCAGAAAAGTTTGGACAGTATATAGCAGTATTTGAAATGTACTTTGTAGTTTTTACACTTTATCTGGTGTTTTAAGATCAGCTCTTACTATTGTTATTCATTTCCAGATGCTATTCTTAGCTAGTATGACGTTTATAAAGGTTGAATTTCCATATGGGTTGTTGGTGTGGGTTCTAGTCCTATCAAAAGTGTATCGTCTTATCTCTCTTCCTTTTCTTTGTATGTTGCTATTCAGTAACTCCTCTAATCGTCAGCTCTTATATGACTTATTGGTGTTGCAAATGCCGTAAAATTCTTACTAAAACTAAAACTAGTTGTGTCAGTGAAATGATGATTTACCATTAATCTTGTAGCAGTTATGTCTACATCTGCCTACTACCCTAGGTTTGCCTGTGTTGTATTTAATTATTTATCTATAAATGATGCGTGTAGTATGCGGGAAGCTTTGTTTTAAATGAATCTGATGATTAAATATTCTTTTAGTTTACTTTGAGTAAAGGGAAGCTCAGTGACCAATAATGGCTACTTGGTTAAGGAGAAAGGCAAGGAAGACAGAAAATAATAGAGAAAACTAAAAGACTCGCCTTTGGTGATCTCTAACACCCCCATGCTAATTCTGTCTCAGTAATGTTTTGTTATAATTTTTAAGAGGTCTCGTGCTGCAAATTGTAAGATTTTCTTGTCTTTTAGTTTGCACTCCAACTCTCAGCTTGACATCAACATCAAAGGGGGCATGATCAAAGACTTGATGAATATTGCTGGGTTTCGACTACCTGATGAACGTGATGCGTCCAGTTCTGGATCAAACACGGATTTCAGGTACGTGACATGTTGGATGATTGGATGACTATTTCTAGTTTATAAAGTTCTGTAGTATCAACTTCGAAGAAAGGGGTTTATCGTTTTTAGTACTTTAGATTAGTTGCTTGAGAAAAAAGTATGATTTTTATTCTCTTCTATTTCATACTTATTTTCCCTTTGAAAAGATACATTTTGATTTTCAGGTAGAAATGTTACCTTTTAGGGTAGTTTTATATTGTTTCATATTATACAATTTTGTTTAGTATATGTAACCATTTGAACAGCATAAACCACCTTTTTTTAATTATTGTTTTAGCTCTTATATTATGCTCAGATGGTATTCAAATCTGTTCCCCAACTCCTTCTCCACATTTGTCTCCTTCAGTGCACATGTTCCACCCAACAAGTACTGCATGGACAAACGACTATTCACAAATCAGCTTTCTCCGGATGAGAGAGCCAAACATGCCTATTACTGCCAAAAACACCAGGATGAGGTAATACCACTTTTTAAAAATACTTGACGAGACTTTTTCTTTTAGCAGAATGGTGAAATTCCATCCTGTATAAACTGAAAACGGTTTATGAGTACCAATGTTATAGTGTCAATTTTTTAGGTTTTGTTCTAGTCTAGAGAGGTCAAAGTATGTTCAACTGGTGCAGGTAGTTTTTCTCTCTCAGATGTTGGGTTTTGCAGTCGATTACATAGTTTGTATTTTTTGTCCAATCTGGCTTACTCGCTCTTAGTTGGCATTCTTTCTATGATGGGGCATGCTGCCTTGAAGCTGGCGTGTTATCTTGAGCCGGTCTTTTATTCTTTCGCAGAAAAGTTGCCTTCTATCTGAAGTGTTGTCTCTAAATTTGCATGTGACCTCAATGATGACTTGTCATTTCAGCGGCTTTGTATGGTCTCTAAGCCAGTGTGTTTGTTTTGTTTGAGCTGGCATGGTATCTCTAAGCTATCTTGTATTTTGAGACAAGCGTATAGCCTCCAAGCCAACCCATTATCTTTAGGCCAACTTTTTTTATGGGTGGTTGGCAGGTGTTCTGATGTTGGTTCTTCCTTTCCCATCCAACATCTCTTGTCTTTATCTCATCTCCTGTTTTTTGTTTGTTACTCTCTAATAACATCTCTAATCTTTGTCACTTATGTGACCAATTTGTTTGTAAGTGCTGTAAAACTCTTGCTTAAAGAAAAACCCCAAACAAACAACTTGTTGCCTCTAAGCCCATTTGTTTAAACGGGCTTGTTATCTAAAAGCTGGTGTGTTCTTGCTGTGCCAATGTAGTGTCTCTGAGTAAGCACTTTGCTTCAAAGAGCACAAGTTATCTCTTAAACTGTCGTATTATCTTTGTCTTAGCTTATTTCCTGTCATTTGGCCAGATGTCTTTCTTGTTTCCTCAAAGTTGGTGTTTCATCTTTACACTACTATTAGTACTATTTTAAAACAAATTCTCAAAGGTGTTCTATGTCATGTCAGAGTAATGTGTCTCTACTTTGTATTTTATTTGCTTAAAACACATTGTTTCTGCACTGAAGAAGAGAAGAGGCTATTGTTTGTTATTACACTTTTATAAGCATAATAACAATAAATGTGACTACACTGTACAATGAAAGTTTGATGCTACAAAGTGAAGCCCTAGCCAGATTAAGCAGGATCATGAACAACAACTTCTTTCTGTGAAATCTATTGAACTGAGAGTGAATGCATTGTCTTCTTAGTTCAGTGAACTTGATCCTTTCTTGTGTCGTTGGTGACTGTTCTTTATTTTTGTCTTTATAAGATTGAGTTGGGTTTTTTTTCCAACTTTGGTTCTGTTTGGGCTCCGGAATAATGAAAGACAAATGATTACCTAGAAAAGAAAAGTAGTTTGATATTATCTGGACTTTGTATAACTATGCTTGCCGTTTCACTTGTTTGAAAAGTAAGATGTTAAGGCTTTACTCCTCCTTTCTCCCTGCCCTTCCCCTCCCCCCTTACACAGCTCCAATTCCTCTCCTACCTGTCAATGAAGCAGAAACATAGAACTCCTGTCACAGCCTCAGATTCTAACATTGCCAGAGAACATCAAGTGTGTATGGCTACAGTTCATTGTATCTTAGAGCTGGTGCTACTGCAGAAGATTTGCCTTTGCTCTCCCTGCCACCCTTACCCTTCTTTCCCATCTTTCCCATTGTCACTGAGGTGCTATCAGGACTTTGAAAGGGACTATTTTAAGAAAGATGTAAAGCTTTGTCAGTTGGTTGTTTACGTAAATAGGCCTAGCTCATTCAGTGCAAGGGGAAAACTATTCCAAGACAGGCCCCGCCAATATGCGACCAACATTAATTTTATCCTCTCATTCTGCCTGTTTGTCATTTAAGATAAGAAAAATTACCCTTTCTTTAGTCCAAAGGAATAGACTAGACCTAGGGTCATATTAAAAGAAAGATCAAGGAGACCTTGGGTTTTTTTAAACTGTCTTTGAGTTTGAGGTGTTTTTGTAGAATTTTGTGGTTATGTTTTTGTTTTTAAATTTTGTTCCTCGATCATTGGAAGTGTTTAACTTCTGAAAGATATTGAGATGGTACAATGAGGGATGTAATCCTTGATTCTATCATAGAAATGGATCGCAGCACTATTAGTTTGATTAGTGACAGCTAATACAGTATCAGTAAATAGGGAAGTGACGTAACGTCTACTCATTCACCTGCTGGTAGCAATAAGCAAGCTTATTTGTTTTGATCCTCTGGTTTTGGTGGCATTAACGCTGACCTGAACCAGGGTAAACTGTTGGATTTACACTGGCTAAATAATGTATTTTTAAAAAAAACTGTATAATTTGTTCATTTATTTTGTTTTATGATTATTTTCGGGAGTTGACCCAATACCACATAAAGATGACAAAACTGCAAAATGAGAGATGGGAGTTCAGCACTGAAATAGTGAAATTAAGATTTGAAAAACTGGCACTACTACTTAGTCCTGCTCTTTAGACAGTTGAAGTAATGCTCCTAGTACAGGTTGGGTTTCAGCAATATATCCACAAAATTAAAATATCTTTTGCTTTCTATGAACATTATAGACATCTAAAAAGCAACAAAGATAATGGGGAGGGGGGGGGGGTATAGACAGATGCATTGATTCTTGACATAATCATTGCTAATATTTACTGTCGTAAGCTGACAAAATGCCTTTTTTTCATTTTTTTCCAAAATGTTTTATTTGCTAAACCGAAAGTCTTTCTTGTGGGAAAAAATCAAAGTGAAACTGTGACTAGATCTAGTTGTTGAATAAATTCAAATTCAAATTTCGGAATCACTTTATTTTTAAATGGTTACGCTGACAAAAAAAACTCTTTTTCTCAAAACTGCTGTGAAGAAAAAAGGTGTCTTGTCATCTTACAGCAGTTTAGCGTTTCTTGTTCTTTTGTCATGGGTATTCTGATTGGAGGCTCTGGTTTCAATAGATTTTTTTATAATGTAAGGTGCTCCATGAATACTTTTTCAAATAAAAAAATCATTACACTAAAACAAAATATTTGAATTTTTTTTGGTGTAAAATGAAAGTCCTCATGTGCATTGTATTTGCACTTTATAAATATATTTGCTTCTCTCTCGTGGTGTGTTCTTCTTCCATTACCTTTGTAGCTTTGAATAATGGTATTAAATAGAATCAATCCTTCGTCATGCAACTGACACTTTGTACTCATGAAAAATTAAGTTGGTGGAACAGAAGTTGGTTCAAGCTAAATTTGCCCCGTTTTTGCCTCTGACAGAAGCAGTTTACAAAATGTTGATTCATGTTTTTATTTGCTTCTTTAAGATTATGGTGCTGATCTGTCCAAATCTTATTCATGTGCTGAACATCATTGTTCACGTCAGTTTGGGAGCAACTATGATAACGCTGAGTCTGTGCCGTCTATTACCACAAACATAATGGGAATGATATTTCTGTTGTCAGAGTATTGTGTTACAATTTACACCAAGATATTGATCCCATGGACCCTTCCACCCCATACACAGGCCCCTCCATGCACCTTGACACTCAAATGTACTCACATGCATACACGTACACAAATCACTCAGAGCCATGCTTTCTTTCAAGGGTTTTGACATAACTTTGAAATAGGTTTGTAATTTGCATTAATATAAGGCTAGGTTAGATTTTATCTATATATATTTTAGTTATGGTGAGTGCTTTTTTCATTAGCTTTCGGGATATTGCGATGATGAGGAGATGGTAAACAATACGTTTTGATGTCTCACTATGGCAATGGTTTTGGTTTGAGCATTTGTTCACTTATATTGTGAACTGATAATTTAGTGTGAGTATATTCTGGATTCAAACCGTGGTTGTTGGTATCACTCTCACAGTGGTCGCATGGTCTTTTTCTATCTTTATTATACTATGAAATGGCGTGTCATTTTAATGATTACAACAAAATAAAGTGTGACTTCTTCATACCTTCTTTTTGGAACAAATCTGTTTGTAAAAGAAAACTATTTGTTAAAAAAATCTATGTGTATACATACCACCAATAATGTACAGACACACTCTGATAAGTGTGTACAGATGTGAAATCGATGAAGTACCAAAAATGCATGCTTACTAAGTCATTTTGCTTAAACATGAATTGGTGGTCAGCTTGTTTTGTGTGGTTGTCATTTATTACCAACAAATATATTGGTCAGATTATTTTCCTGAATTTTATTTGTAAAAGACTTGTTATTTTAAGCATCCTGATTTGGCATGCTTTCGTATGAGAACTGCGTTCTGTTCACTATTTGCATGATAATCACTCAAGTTCCTTAAGATCAGTCTACCAAAATGTGTGTGTGTTTTTTCTTGCATGTAGTCCTCTGCTGGACACAAAAAAATTGTATTCCTTTTAAAAAATTCATGAAAATATGATGTTAAGGAATATTTTTGAAATTCTTTGTTTTTTATATTTCTGTAACATGGAAATTCAAAAGGTAGATATTAGTTGTTTAAATGAAATTTAGATACAAAACTGTAAAGCTGTTTCACACTTTTCCGTTTACAGTCATTATTTCTTTGGTGCTTGTAATTATGAACATTGCTATGCCTACTGGACTGTTAAGGTGGTGTTCCCTTGCTAAAAGCTTTGGAGCTATTCCTGTTGTGGTCAGCCTCTCAGCTTCATGAACATTCTTAAGGTCTATTCCATATTTTGGTTCAGTAACCTGTCAAAGCAGTAACTGAATTAGGTGGTCATGTTTTCTTGTCAGCTATTTGATGTTTTTGAAACGAAAAAGTAAGTTTTTATGCTATCTTTTTATGCTTAATTCATTACAGTTTTGAAAGAATAGTTTCTAACTGGCTCTAAACTCGAACAACTGGAGTTTTTGTTGGTGAAAGGATTATTTTACTATTTTACTCATTAGATAGTGGATTATTGGGGGGGGGTTCCATAGTCATTGTTGTCTACTCAAGATGGCATGCCTTTGAAAGAAGAGGAGATATGATTTAAAGATTTTCTATGAGAATGACTTATTTATAATTAATCAATGAATTCATTCAAATCTGTAAAGACTTCTTCAGATTTATTGATATGCTGTTTAGCGTAGTTAGTAACTGGCGCTCATACACCCATATGCAGTTGCGAGTGCCGTAAAACCTCTACTAAAACTAAAACTAATAGTTAGTACCGGTAACTATATTGTATCGCTTACTTTTATGCCTACTCATACCATTCTGGTGTCAGTTATTCCATGGTTTTCATAGAGTTTTTTGTTCTGTCTTCCTCAGCAAATCATGCAGTCAATTCTGGACATCATCACACCAGATGATATGCGACTTTTGTGTGAGAGCATTGATGAAGACAGTCGCAAAGGGAATTTTCAGAGACTATTCCCAACTCCTCACACGCATCGCTACTTGCGTTTCTTTGAGCAACCTCGCTACTACAATCTCCTGTTAGATCAATGGGTGATGCGATACAACCGCATGGAGCAGCGAGGTAGGCAGTTTTTGACCTTTTTTTAAAGTTATGATTTCTTGGTTTAGTACAATGATTCTTCAGTAGGCTGTATGTAGAGAGGATTACAAAATGCATAAAATCTGTAGAGTTCTGAACAAAATTTTGAGATAAAGATTGGAAGAAGAATGGCATAAAGAATAAAATTTCTAAAATTGTGCTGTTTTATAGTATATTTTAGTTCATTTTATTTGAATCAGTGTAAAAAAACAACAACAAACAGGTATGTTATTTTTACCATTTAATCAATGTCAGGGATGAGGAGGTGGTGGTGGTTGGGGGGGGGGGGGAGTTACGGCTGACAGTCCTTTTTTTAGACACACATTCTTTATTTTGTCATTCTATATTCATGTGTATTATTCTCCAGGAATTCTGTTACTTCAGTCATTCTGTGAGGAGAAGATACATGTTGAGAATCCAACAACAAACTCCAGACATCAGGTTCGTTTTGTCTCTTGGTTTTGGAGAAAAGAAATACAAACGAAAGATTTATAACTTTGCTATTATTTATGTCGCTGCTACATTTAGCTCTTTCTTTTCTTCTTTCCCAAAGTACCCTTTACTTGCCTGCTAGACATCTTTCTTACTAGGCAGGTGGTTGGCGGGTGCTCTGGTGTGGTTTCCTCCCTCTTTTCTATCGAACATCTATCGTCCCAATCTCTCTTGTAACACTTCAAATCTTTGTCTCTCCCCCTCCCCCCCCCAAGAACAGTGCTACTGACTGAAGTTGTCTTTAGGCCATTCCCAAAGAGGGGATATTATCATGTTTTTATGCACAGTAGAATTGTAAATGGGCTGATTTATCAATGTCATGCTCATACTGTGTCGGAACAACATCGGGAGAACTGCTGCTTTTTCTTTCCTTATCCTTACTATTTCGTAATTTTTCCTCTACTTCTTTTGCATGTTTGTTACTCTCTTGTGAACTGCTATTTCCGGGAACGGCTTCATTTTTCGCCCGATTCTGTTACCTTTAGTTAGCGTGACTCAGCAGCCCGCGGAGCTCCCGCTCCGGGTCACGGGGTTAATGAGCCCTTAAGCGAATTTGCCGCTGTCGGTTAAGAAGTTCGCCTTTTTGTCTACCTTTGAAACGATATAACTTCTTCCCCATTCCACACAGCAAACTATTGCGCGCATGTTCTAAAAGCTCAATGTCTTGAGATTTATTCTGCGTTAAAATGGTTAATTTCTGTCTCTTAGTTTTTGTTCTAGATAAGTGTTTGTAGAGTACCCAATATGTCATATTTTAGTTACATACTTATGAATAATTATTGTTTATTTTAAAAAGGCATGACAGATCTCTCAAAAATCTGTGTTAAACTCTCTATGAATATCATGTTTTTTACCTTGAGAAATCTTAAATCTGCGCGAGTAGTAATAGTGAAGTTATAAGAAAAGAAAGATGCACATCTGCATTTTTTAACTAAAGACACTCAGCGTTAGCTCTTGTTCTACCATTAAACAAGAGAAAGTTACTCTATGTTTGTTCATGAATCAAGCTGTGTCTGTGGCAGCCTGCATACAACCCCCTGCTACAACTAAAATTCCACTGCCGGTGCGCCGTTCGGGGTGCCTTGATAGTTAAGGCAGACTTTGTGCTGTTGAGGCTAGAGAGGTGAGCAGAGTAAGACTGATTCCCCGTTTAGACTTCTCTGTTGACATCCATCCCTTGACGCTCATATAACCTTATACTGTTGCGAGCGCCGTAAAACTTTACTAAAACAAAAACAAACAAAATCTTTAGCACATATATGACCTTATTGGGTTGCAAGTGCCGTAAAACTCGTACTTAAGCCAACTTTCTTACTGGGAGCATGAGTTCAGAGGAAACGTTTGTCATTGTGGTTAAAACAAGTGCATCAGTAGGTTGCAAGGGGAAGACACAACCGAGTGCCACAAAGTTTCCTTCACCCTTCAATACAATGCCAGGTCATGATATGATGTGCTGGTCGAAAGTCGAAACTGTGAACTGTCCAAATCTAACAGTGTTTGGCTCACTTTTTTAAAGTTAGTTTAGGCAACTTAATGTCAGACTATTAAATTAGAGGCATTCATAGCATTTTGTAGAGTACTTTTACACTGTTGGTTTGTTGAAACTTTGGAAATTAATCACAGTGTTATCTTTTCTATAAAATTTGATCTCAAGTGTGGGACTTATTTTATTTTCACATCTGATTCATTGGTACCTTTCAAATAAAAGTCTTATGTGAGGCAGGGTGGTGAAATCAAGTGCTCGTCAAAATAATCAATGTGGAAAAAACTGGCGTTTTTCTACAAGGTTGTGAATTTTTATTGAATTTTCGTTTTCTGGCTCAACACCTTTCATGCCCATTAAAGAACACATTTCTGTGTGGATTTTACTGAAAAATGTTGATTAAAGGTACAAAAATGTAAATTTTCAGTTTCCATGGACTCTCAAGCAATGGAAATGACTCATCTTTAGTGGCCATTTTCTCACTTATTTACATCTGAAAGCTGGTGCCCCCACCTCCTTCATTCGCAAATGTCTCGACTTCTATTCAAGATAAATGTATATTTTTTATTCCAAAATAAATGAACAAGTTTTAAGATGATACCAATAACTCTACATAACCAAAATTTGACGAGGGCCTGATTCCACCACATCGTGACACTTATAGAGAGTATTCTCAACATCTGGTCTTAGACAGTGAAGGGTAAAACACTAAATGGAAAGGGCACTGTGTCATTACACCATGCCTTCGGACCATGCTGTGTCACTGTCTTGTCCCGAGTCCTTACAATTTCTGTAACACTGTTTCTGTTTCTGTCTGCTTACAGTGGGCGCCTCCAAATTCTACCGCAGCATCATTACGAGCAGCTGACATCCGACCCCTGGCTGGACAGAACAGTGCAAGAGGAAGGTGAGATTATATTTGAGTTTTGGTATAACTGTGCACAGTTGCAATTTGGGGGGAGGGGGGGATGTTGTTCTTCAACATTTTATAGCATCTCTATTGCTATCTGCTTGCTGGTTATATTCAGCTATTGTCATGCTGCCTTGACATTAATTGCTATCCAGCTTCAATATTTCTTGATATTTTCTGATCTGGAACTCTTTAATATTCTTATTTTTGTTTGCCTTGTACGACTGATTATGTCTTGTGTTGGATGGGTGTCCTCATGTCTTTTATAAAGCAATGCGATAGATGCTAAAGAACTATGCAGTTCGCCTGAAGTTCAAATGACTTCCCATGCCCTTCAAAATTGAGGAGCTAAACAAGCAGGGGTTAATATTTGAGAAAGTATACCATTGTCAATGTACAAGTAATTGAACTATTGTAAGCTATAGTGTAATATTTTTTTTGTTGCTTACTTTTTGGTGACCTTTCAAGCTCTCTCATTCTGCGCTTTCCCCAGGATTTGAAAGTTATGACTGTAAGTCTCTTTTCCTGAATTTGGACTTGAGAATTTTCTTATTGCCTTAGACTTTCTGCTGTTGTTCATGTAGTCTTTTTGTTTCTTAGATTTTGAAAGGTTGAAATGTGGGCACCTTTTCAAAGCTACAATCAATACCTAGGTCCAGCTATGTCTTTGGAAGGATTAAAGATGTAAATTTCCGTTTTAAAGTTTTTTTCAGTACAGGTTGATATCTTACCTTTCTGATAAATATAATCACCATCTGTTTTATATAATTCAGGTCAGGTGGACTATGAATTATGTGGAGTTGATCATCAACTTTGTGATTTTTCAGTAGGCTGATCATCATGTTGAAGTTATTCACATTGGTCTTTTGATATCTTATGTTTTTTACCTTTAGATGGACAAAAGTTCTTTGTCAAGTAAGACATTTGCTTTTCACCTTGATCTTCTTATTTTGGTTCTTGTTTGTGTCAATGATGAAAATTGAAAAAACCAAGCTGCATCTGGGTAATGTCAGGAAACGTTCAAAGAATGGCTGAAATGACTGAATGCTGTGGTGGTTTACCTGTTGTAGCTATTTGGTTTATTTTGTCATTTTCAGAATGTTTTAATGTTTTGAAAGGACCCTCTAATTCCATAGCTCAAGTTTTCGTCTGAAATCCTTTCCAAGATGCCTTTCCTTACCGACCATCTATTGCCTGGCTTAGCTGGAAAAGTGTACTCATACTTAAAGCTCAAAATATTTATTGGGTTGTTTGCATGGCAGAAAAACTGTATGGAAGAATTCAGAGTAAAGGAATAACAGTTCTGGGTACTGAAAATTTCTGATAATTTCACGATGTTCTCAAATGTGGAAATCCTGATAGTAACTGGATGCTTCTGTATTCCTTTGTTTTGTTCTTGATTATTATGTTTTTCTGGATATTTACCTAAGTTGAACTTCACTTTGTTGTCTGTTTTCTGTTTCTTTAAAGAAGTGTCATAGAGTAGTCTTTTTCATCCTCTTTTCTTTCTTTTAATTTTTCATTTCTTCTTTGTCCTTGGATACGTTGATAAGCATGCAACATATTTTGAATTGGAACATGGCACTTTGTTCCCAATTTCATTCTCACAGTATTCTTTTACTCATTAATGAGTCTTTTAAATACTTCTTTTTTTCTGTCATTGCAGTTCTTGAAGTGTTACAGTTTTGCCTAATTGCTTATTGTGTTTGCTCAGTCTACATGAAAATGTGATACTTCTTTGGGTTCATTGGCTATTTAGTAATAAAATTTGTTTACTTTTTGAAAGATTACATGTTGCTTTTTTATCCAGAGGAGGTGTCCTGTTACATGCTAAATATAGCCTGTAAAGTGTATTCCAAAATTTAAAATAAAAATGAATGATTTGTTAACAATTTCGTAGCCTGATCAGAGTTTATAAGTTTTAAAGAGTGAAGCATGTCATGAGCATAAACTAGCTTTATCGCATTTCTCAGTGTTACAATATTTGAACTTAATGTCGCTCTTGATCCAACAGCTCATTACCCACCCCCCCCCACCCCCACCCACCAGGGCAGTACTACTGACTTAAGTTGTCTTTAGGCCATTCTCAAAAGGGAGATATTAACATGTTCTTATGCACAGTAGAATTGTAAATGGGCTGATTTATCAATGTCATGCTCATACTGTGCCGGAACTACTTAGGGGGAACTGCTGCTTTTCCTTTCCTTATCTCTATCGTCATTTTTTCCTCTACTTGTTTTGCATGTTTGTCACTCTCTTGTGAACTGCTATTTCCGGGATGCCTTGATAGTTGAAGCAGACTTTGTGCTGTTGAGGCTAGAGAGGTGAGCAGAGTAAGCCTGATTCCCCGTTTAGACTTCTCTGTTGACATCCACCCCTTGGCGCTCATATGACCTTATGCAGTTGCGAGCACCGCAAAACCTTACTACTAAAATAGCTCATTAGCAAGTGTCATTTGTTCTGGTGTCATGCTGGCCTAAGCAGTGGTTGGGTAGTACTGTATCGAGTGTTCTCACATTTATCACATTATCAAATATACCAAACAGCTAATGAATATATATTATGATAGTGTTGCTGTTCCACCTGCATGTGTCACAAGTTCCCCTCATACATCATATCTGTCCAGGAATTGGAATGACATCTTGTGTCTTTACCTTCTAAGGTCACTGGTCTGAATCTGGACTTTGTCAGTTTTATTGTACAGTGCCTAGAGCTTTCTTTTGAGTAAGGATATTTTACTATACCTATTGTGATTGTACAAGCACTTAAACCTTTTATGTTATGGTGTAGGTTTTTGTAGCTCACTTAATGATAAGCTTGTAAGCTCTGTCATGTTGCACTTTCCCCAGGATTTGAAACTTGTAACTGTAAGTCTCTTTTTCAGAATGTGGATTGAACATGTTCTTATTGCCTTAGACTTTATTGTGTTGTTCATGTCTCCAAGATATAAAAGGGGCCAGTCCGATGGACTAAGAAACCCTGAAACCCCACTGTGAGGAGCTCACTTTCATAATGTCTTATATTTAGGTTGTAAACTTCCACAGAAACAAAAGCAAAAGATCCGGCACTGACTAGAATTCTTTGTCTTTTTCTATGTGTAGTGCACCAGCCCCTGTACTGCCTCGAGTCCTGAAGAAGTTGCCGCCCAGGGGGGGCCAGACCCTGTCTCAGTCGAGCAGCACCAATTCCCTCCAGTCTCTCGTCTCTTCCCCCCAGCTCCACACACCATCACCTATAGGCCCTATTGGCTCACCAAGCAGGTCAGGCTAATTTTGTTTTATTTTGTTTTGTATTCACTGAATTTTATTTGAAATGACTCCATGTATGTACGTGTATTTATGAAGATGCTGTTGACCCTCCAACAAAGTAATTTTCTGCCTCATGATTTTATTTATTTTATGGGCAAAGTATAAACAAGAAACGATTTAAACAATGGTATTGTTAGTTATAAGTTAATTATAGTAGTCGATGTGTTTTATGATGACTTAAAGATACAGATGAAGAATTTTTTTAGGGAAATAGAGCAAAAGTAAGTCAACAAAAAGGAGTCAAAGGCGGCAATGAGCAGAATTGTTAGTTCCCAAAAATTTCAGATGTGCTGTATATGTCTCAGCACATCTACTGGCTCATACATTGTTAACAGCATCTACAACATTTCGTTTGGGTAGGTTACAGAAAACAAAATCAAAGATGACAAAATGCCTTTGATTTATGCAATGGAGTTCCAGGAAGAAGACAGAAAGCAGGGCTTGGGAACCAGAATGTGCTAATTCATATTCTTGCTTGTCGGCTCTTAAAATTTGGAAGTAGTAGTATTCCTCCAGCCTATGAGGGTTAAGAAATGTAAATAATATTTCTTTCAGCCTTAAAAGTAGCAAGACTGTTACATAAATGGAGCCTTAATGGTAGTCTTCGATCAGCGCAAGCCCACCCTTTCAAGGATCCCGGTGAAGGAGTAAGAGCAGCTATGGCATTGTATCGCGTGTGATAAAACCCGTTCTCCAATGCAGTAACCAAGTTAATGGTTTTCCTGTCTTTATCCTTATTCTACTATTTCACTACAACTATGATCGTTCATATGCTCTCACAGGTGACTAGCGGTCCGTCTGCCCCCACTTCATGACCTTTGCACAGACAACACCCCTCGATATGCGTCCAAGAGATACAGACGTTCAGTGCACACTTCAGTTCCCATTGATCAAGCTGCTTCACTCAGTAGCCGGTCAAAGGGCTCCAGAAAGCACCCCCATACATCACGACCTGACTATTATTGATGGTGCTCACTTTGCTATTTCCTTTAGTGTGTTGAACAGCTGAGAAACTTGTGTAACTGACACCTCTGTTGGGTATTTCATGGGAATATTTCTTCTATGCAAGTGTCAATGTAGAGAAAAAAAAGTAATGTCTTAGAAACTGAACTATGTCTGTACAAAAAGAGCTTTCCAAAACTACCATATCTCTCACCTCATGCCAAAATTTATATCCAGGAATATATTCATGCATAGTTATTGAAAAAAATGTGTAAAGCAGCAGTTTGAAACTGGTAGAAGAAAATGTATGGCTGCTTATCCAGGCTACTAAATAATTATTGCTCTCTTGCTTTTGGTGCTGTGGATGAAATGTTAAAGTTTATAAAATAGCAGAACCAATAAAAAAAATTTTTACATCAGAAAGATAATCGTATTATTACATGGCCATATATCTATATAGTCCAATATGTATTGAACTTGCTGATGTTTCAAATTTTTGTAATGTGCTCGTAGTTTTGACAAATTTTGAAGTGCATAATTATATTTTTTAAAAGTTCTGTCTCTTCCCCCTCCCCCAACTTTATATTTAATCTGTATACAAACTGATTGATTTAAAATCTACATCAACTCTACTTACTTTTGTAAACTTAAAGTGATAATTGGATGCACTAATGTTTAAACTCTGCCAAAAATATATATGTAATGTTACTATTTGAAAACCAAGAATTGATCACTTGTGCCATGCATGTTGCTTTTACATCTTCAGGGGATGTATTAAAAGTACAACTCTTTATGGAGCCAAAATATGCTTGGGAGGAAAGAAAAAAGTTAAATGAATGACACAATCATGACTATAAAAAATTAGCCATGCATGATCTATGCCTTGCTGTATTTTAAAAATATTCTTCATTTTGGAAAACAAAACTTATAGTAGTGTTTGATTGAATGTATTCAGTGGGTTGATTCTTGAATGAAGTGAAAGTTTATCCTGTCAGCTTTATTGCCCACATTTGTTTCTTTCTGTTTTTGCGAAACTTGTATTGCTTGTTGGCTGAGGTTTTGCAAAGTACACTTCTGCCAAGAGTATAATACCAAAGGTTTCTTGGTTGATTATGGTATATTGTCCTCATATCATGTTGACCTTCCTCTGTGAAGCTAAAAATTTCTTGGCAATGTTATGGAGGTATTATTTTCCAAGCTCTGCTGTCTCTATAAGTTGTTTTCAATGTTATTGTGCTGTGTAACTGTGATACTTTTGGAAGATGTGGCAAGGTGATTTTTTTCCATACTTTTCCCACGCCATCATTGGTCAGGCATCTCTTCACGCATACCTTAGCAAAGGTTAGGGGACGGACGGAATACATTAGATACCGGTTATGAACTGCTTTTTTAATACATTTGTGATCTTTATTCATTCCGCAATCACACAGTTCCATATGTCGATCCATGCTCTCTACGGCTTTTCATGGTGTTTTTATTATCATAAGCGTTATTGGTAGCTTACTAATGCTTTTTTAACCTATTTTAGAGATACCATTCAGCCTATTGCCGACATAACAGGGGCTTGGGATGTAGTTATAAAGCAGTCAGTCATACTCATAATGTATGATATCATTTTTTGGGGGGGGAATGATGGAAGATAAGTGGAGGGAATGATAGATAATCTGTAAATTATTACATAAAACGAAGTAGTATTTCACAGTAGTGTAGGATGAACATATTTTGTAGAAAAATAAAAATGTCATAGTTTGTCTAAATTATTCACTCATTGTAGTTAGGGTCACCAGGTTTCTATTGAGAGTCCAGTTGATCAAAATACAGTTAGCTCAAGTCATTGCGTTATGTTTTAGAGTGCCTGTGAAGGAGACTTGATCAAGCATTTGTGTTATCATCTCAATACTTTCTGATGATCACAGGCGATATGTGTAGTTATTGACTTGTGCCGATAGAGATGGATGCTGAAAGTGGTAGAGTGGCTAAATTTTGCTTTTGACTGTTTTGTTTATTGGTTATGATTAAAAGAATAAAATGAATGATGTGATGCAGTTCCGAGAGTATCACACTTGTCTCTGGATTGTGTAGAAAAATGTCTCTGTAGTCTCTGAATTTTTTACCACTATTATATATTTCATAATTTTAGGTAGCGTGTTGATGTGTAAGGGTAAAACTGAAGGCATACCAGTGCATTTTCATTAGAGTTAGAGTGACTGTAGGCATTGTTTTTTTAGCTTTATATACGAATCTATGACTGTTTGTATGTTTACTCTTAATGCAGTAAGGAAAACCATGCATTTGCTCCAAGTTTTATAAAAAAGACTGCAAAGGGACAAAATTAGTTGGACAGAGGCTCACTGCAGCTTAAAAAAATATTTAAATGTTTATTCCTTTTAAAACTTATCTACTTTACGTGCCTATCATTGTAGTTTCTGAGCAGCAGTGAAAGCCGTTGAGGATGCGGCTATTAACTGAGGTGTGAGGCAGATTGACTAAAATTGTATTTTTAAAAGTTTCAATAATAGTGGGTTGAAAGAAACTCCATGAAATATTATGCTTGTGCTTGTCTCAGTGAAAAATGTGGTAGAGTCTTTGTTTTGCTGATGTTGCTTCAAATATATCATAATGGCAATGTAAGGTAGTGTAATTGTTTTTCTAGTCATTTTATACTTACTTACATATATGTGTATTTATTTAATTTATCTCAGTCTGTTGATATATTTATGCCAGCAGTGTCTAAACATCTCATGTTTATTTGAAAAAGTGATTTCACAGCCTGTTTTGTTACAGCTTTTGTGTAACATAATCTAATGAGAACTGACCCTTTTTGTAGTAGCTATGTTAGTGACTAGACATTCCTCAGACATGGACATCTCCTCACTTTGCTCTATGAAGTCACTGGTCAAGGGGCCTTTGTTTTGATTCTTGACTAGACATTGCTGTAGTCTCCGCCTAAACGCACGGTGCTTGGGAGGGCTCCTTGGCGTATGTTTACGCGGAGTGTGCGTTTACATGAACCTTTGCAATGGGAGGAAGAGACGCAGTCATCTCATTGCCTTGATATTCTAGTGACCTTCCTTTGCGGTGGGGGCCACTTTTTGCAGATAATGTGACAACATGTGACTGTTTTGTGAAGGATTCCTCGACTGCGGTTAGGAATATAAAAGCCTTAAATGGGGGGGGGCAGACTCAATGTAATGAATATGCACTATAAATCGTCGGGAACAGATAGCCTAAGACTAAGAGGAAACTGTTGGAGATAGTCATAGTCATAGAGATAGACAACAGCCCAGCCATGTGGCTTTCCAAACGACAGCCCTGACAGTAAATTCATGGACGGCATTAAAATCATAGATCTCTACATTCAGAGAAACATTTCTCTTGTGATTCGTTGAACAAATACGTTATTAAAATATAAGTTCTTTGAGCGCAGCTGATTTGGCTTACTTGGCTAATCTTAAATCCTATAGAGGCCTTTCTAGTGTTTTATGGCATTCATGCGTGTTGCGCATCAGGCCCAGGTCTAACTAAACATTATATTATGCAGTCACCCAACACCAGTCAGAAACCTTCTCTCAAAGATGCATTTCCAGTGACCAATCAAAAAAACAGTTCAGCCCCTCCCCCCCAAATTTTACTGACCAGCCCTAGACTGAGACCTAGACCTATGTGAACGCTGTCCATCACTCTCTTTGTTCAACGTGAGGAGCAGTCTCACCAAATATCCAGTCTTCTAGGCTTATCTTATGCAAGCTATGCAGATTGTAGTGAAAATTTCCTCTTGTCAAGCTTAACCTGTCGACGTATTTCGCGGAACGGAGCGTGCTTTTAGAGGGAGTGACCGTGCGTTTGTATATCTAAATTATATAGCAAAACACCCGTCAGATGACGAAAGCGTGCATTTGAGCGGAGCGTGCTTTTGTATGGCGTGCGTTTAGGCGGAAACTACTGTATAACAATAATAATTATTCTTCTAAATTTAAGAGGATCACACAACCTAAATAATCACAAATGGTTATTTTAAGTCTGTCTCCTTATCTGTCTTATGTAGTATTTTCTCCTTCTTTATATTCTTCTTTTCTTTAAATTTTTGGTCAAAATCTTTGATTATGAATTGGAAAAGGTTTACCTTGTATGTCAAATGATGCGCCCCTTTCGTTTGACACATTATCAGGCAACTATACCGAATTATGGGTAATAAGCTATTTCTGTTTTACAATGAGTTGTATAAAGTTGTCTTTTGTGTATATTCTCAGATTTTTTTTTTCTTTTTATATACGTTATTTTATATGAAAACAGTAGAAAAACTTTTGTGTAGAGGTACCAGCCACAACCTTAATTGAACTCTCTTCTTTTGTGAAGCCATTTCATTTATTTCATTTTGGCAAAAAAAGAGTTGCTCCTTTTAAGGGAGTTGAACATTTTTATTGTGATAATGACGATGTAGTGATTAATTGATTAATACAATCAATGTCTTGCTGGGTCAAGACATATTTGGCTGTTTCAACAAGATCACTCCATTTTCAGAGCAGAAGAAGGACAGTTACTCTTCAGTCTCAAGCACCAGAACGCTGTCACATACCCTGAATGTAGTTGCTGCAATATTGGTATCGCAGTCGTGCAAATTTTCTATTTTGAGTGTATTATCTCAGTATATTTCAGGCATGTTTAAACAGAAGGTTCTGAGTACTATTTGTCATAGTGTCTGTTTTATATCTCTCTAGATTTATAAAATAACAAAGCTGAAAACAAGTCAAGTGAAAACATCCAAAGCAACGATTTGTTTTTAAAATATTTCTTTTTTTTTCAATGTAGGTCTTTTTGTGCCCCATTGGCACAATTTAGACCATTTAGAAGGCAGGCTTGAGACCCTGCTGTCAGGGCCAACCTGAGCTTAAAGGGATACAATATCCCTGCAGAAACACTTAGATACCCTATAAAAATCCTTCCCACTCAGGAATCAAACTCAGATCTCCTGTTTACGAAAGTGAAGCACCTAACCGCTATTCCACAGACGCTGGTAAAGCAAAGTTATGATAAATTCGAAACTCAGATGTTTATAATAACACATACTTTGGGAGGTAGAAGTAGAATCAGAAAAGGACAACAAAATGTGTTGACGTAAGGGAATGTCAGTCTGAGAAAACAAAGGTTAGTTATAGTATTCTGCCATTGCTAGGTCCAGCCATATGTGGTCCATCTTCTGTGACTTTAGTCAGGAAAAAAGTACTGATAATTTAATTTACTCTCTTTAGAAGGCTGTCTGTCATTTTTTAACTTGTTTTTTATTTCCATGTCATCTGTTTCTTTGAGGGGTTAATAATAGTATGGCTCTCTTTTTCATACCTTGGTTACATTACACATGTGTGTCTGGTGTTGTTTGAAGCACTGTAAAAGGAATTTATTTTCTAATGTTTGATGTTATTTATAGAACATCCATTCTCATCTTCACAAGTTACTTAGTTTGGTTGGCAGCATAAGAGACATATAGCTATTTATTTAGACTTTGAATTATACTAACGATGAGTAATTTGCAAGCTCGGTGAAAGTTCCTTATGTGCTCATTTTGTGACCATCAACATGTTTTGAGCTGCTGTTACTGGAATTCCAGCAGTCTCTTGTCTTGTATCTGTCATGAATTGAAAGAACTAGATGTACTTTTATTTTGTAGTGAAACTAAAATATAGAAAGATCTGTGCTTTTTGATGCTGCCGTACGAAGTACGAATTTTAGCTCTTTCTTGGACATTGGGAAACTAATTAGTTAAAAAGCTTGGTAATATGGAGATGTCTTATTTCTACAGAAGTGTAGATTGCAGAAAGCCCTTTTTCTAACAATGTGTCCAAGGTTTGGGTTGACTTTTCAAGTGATGATATCACATAGGTGAAAGTGAATTATATATTATCTTGTAACCTGTCTTCAGCTGTCTCTGAGAAAGAAAAAAAAGAAACTTTTATACTTGTGGGGCATTTATATTTATCTGATGACTTTCTTTTTGTAGTTATATCTTTCTCAAATACAAGTGATATTTACATATTATACTATTATTGTATAGCTTTACATACTCTTTAGGTACAAGAGAAGATTTTTAAAAAATATGACATGTAGACTGTATGTTTGTAGACAGTATACTTCATGTTTCTTACCAGATGAAATACTTACAATGTGTTGTAACTTGATGCATCTCAAAACATAGATGTAAAGTTATTCCAACTGCGAGAGATCAAGGGGACTTGGGCAAATACATGTGGTTGCTTAGCTTCTTTAGACCGTCAGTTTAATATACTGAACTGAACTCGGGATTGGATTAGTTATCCTTGTAAAACTTGATTAACGATAAGGAATAAGAAGAAGAAATCCTAATGGGGAGAAGTTTTGATGAATATTGCATTGTTTGTTATAGTCAGAGCATCCTGAAAGAAAAGGAAACACATTACTGCCAGTTTAAGAATGGAAAAGATCAAATGTCAGTAATGACTGTGTAGCAAATCAATGCACTTTTTCCCCCCAAATGTCTTTACTGTAATATGTAGCTATGATTTAAAGAAGAAACTAGAGTTTCTTGTTAAGAAATCTGAAAGTGATTTAGAAACAATGCTAATGGTTCTCAAAGTAGGAAGGTAATCTTTTTTTGACAGAATATTTTTGTGTAATAGCTTGTAATAGTTCTGTAATCAATTGCGCGATGACTATTACAAATGCAGAGCAATACTACTTTTTCTGGGCTCCCACCTTCCTTTTCTTTGACCAGAACACTTTCAGACCTCAACAGAATAGGTTTGTGCTGCTAGCATCAAAATCACCTTTGAAATCCAAAATTAAATGACTTCGAAGTCCTAAAGCTATATGTAGGACATGTCCTGAGACTGTGATTGGACTTCTCCTATCCTCCATACATATTTATACATCATATTATTCATATTTTGATAATGTTGCTTATAACTTTAATTTGGTGTCCATCAGGTATTTCTCTCAAATATGTTGTAAATGTTTCAATAAATGGAAATGTTATAGTTCAATTGCAGTCAAGGAATGTTACTTTGTTTACACAAAATGGTAACAAGTGCCCATATTTTCATCATAAGTATTCAGTGGCAGTAGGTATGTTTACTTTATCACTAAAGTATCAAGGTATGTGCTTTAAATTTGCAAAATTGGTGTGAAAACTGCAAGCTCTTATGCTCACAAACAGAAGAATGTGTTATGCATGAGTAAATATGTAAATCTTCTGACTGATAAGACTTTGAAATTTCCTTCACAGTAAATAAAAGCTTTTAACTCTTAACTAAAGCAAGAAAACGCAAAGTTTTCCCCACAGTCAAAGTTTACCCACACGATTATATGTGCATCTCTGAATATTCACATACACAAGTGCACACTCAAACAGGGACCGACTTGTCTCCACCGTCATTTACCCTTATTGCACCTCATAACAATTGGAATGTAAATCTTTAAGTCAGAAGTTATAATGTCTGTAAATAATTTTGATAGATTTGCTTGTAAGGTGGGAATGACACATAGACCAAGTAATGACAAATAAAGGTGTCTCATTGCCTGACATCTAGAACGAAAGCGGCAGCTGCTGGGGCGACTTCTCTCATCATTGTCTTTAGCTACCTTGCGAGATTGTTGTAAAAATTTTGATATAGCTCAGTTGACATTCAGCTGTCTGAACATAATGTTGAGGGTGATATTTATCTTTCCAGAATTGTATTAAATCGGTTTAATTGAAATTTTTAGAAGGTTTTGAGATCGCTGTACAATCATACCAAGGGGCTTCGTGTGGTCAGGGCAGCTCTATAAGATCACATGAATAGTTTCTAGGTAGACAACATGACCCTTTGAGCCCTGAAGGTTTGACTGTTTTCTGTTGTTGATTTTTTTTCATTCAAATGCTTAGAGGCTAGAACAAAAGGAATGAAAGATGAACCTTTGTTCAGCCAAAGATATAAGTGTCTCCCAAATTCAGCACCTTGTGACCAAATAGTTCTGTCATGTTGGTGCTTAAAGAGAGCGTAATGAATGTTCTCTTGTTACGACTTCGATTGCCTTCCAGTCTTTAAGGTAATACACATGTTGCAACTAGAGTCACCAACTGGAGCAAAATGTTAAACAATGGTTTGTAGTTCTAATGTTTGACTCAGCAACATTTCTGATTTGGAAGTGTCTGATGGGATTGAATAATGTTTGTTTGAGTTTTAGAAGTGCACGTTGAAGGAACTGAGAACTCTTCAGAGAATGAGAATTCTTAAAAAAACATTGGCCACAATGAATAACAGGCAGGAACTAATGCCCTAGCTGTAAGCTTGATTTGATAACTGTCATAAGGCTTTCATCAGCATTTGTATTAATGTTATCTGTATATCTTAGTCTTATATATTCCCATATGTGAGGCATGGTGGGGAAATCAGGCACTCGTCAAAATACTGAAATCAAAGGAACTGGCATTTTTTTCCATGTTGAGCTTTTTTTTTCGTATATTCTTTTTTTGGCACACCTTTTATGTCGATTTAAAAACGCACTTCTGTGTGGATTTACCGAAAAGCGTTGATCGAGGGCATAACAAATGTAAATTTGCAGGTTTTAAGGGCACTCAAGCTTTGGAAGTCACCAAACTTTGTCGGCTATTTTCTCGCTAATTTTACCTCTGATAACAGGTGAATCCCACCTCCTTAAATCGTAAATATTTAGACTTCTATTAAAGATAGATGGGTATTGTTTTTTCACCCAAAGCAAGACAAAAGAACAAGATTTATGATGATACCAATATTTTCATATGTCCAAAAACTGACGAGAGCCTGGTTCCACCATGTCGTGATACATACTATGGTGTTTTTTTGCAATATATGAACGTAACTCAGATCCCTCTGTAAACTTTTTGATTTGTGAGAATGTGCATTCGATTTTGAGAGGTTATTTTGTTCTTTGAGCAGAGTAGGAATGTGCACACAGTCACACACACACACACACACACACACACACACACACACACACACTCATACACACGTGCACACACACACACACACTCATACACACGTGCACATAAACACACACACACATGCACGCTCACACAAATATACATACACACTCATACACGCACATATATATATGCAAGCACACACACATGCAAACACATACATGTACATACACACAGACACACACTCACAAGTTTGTTTTCCAATATCTTGGATACACACAGGTTCTAAGTGGAGCAAAGACAATGTTGCATTTTACTGAATAGGGTGCTCGAATTTTTTTATATGTTTAGTTATAAACTGTTGAAGAGGAGGACTATGCTATAGTAAGTAGGGTATTGGGTGGGGGGGGTTCTACCTTGGATCAATTTATATTGGTTGTGAAATGCTTACATCTCTCCTGCTGTGCACTATCTTGATTTCTCACCGTTCATGGGGTGGTCTTTGTCTAAGTTCCTCTCAATGAATTTTTCCTTCCTGTCGCCCTGTTCGTTTTAATAATTCCAAATAGATCTATCCCCAATGAGATGTATAGATCATTTTTTGACACTTTATTGTGTCTAGTAGTGTATTCGTGGTATCTGTAAGGTATGTTCCACTTAACAGTCGTCAATCGATGCCTTTGACCAACGCAAGTAGCCTTGGTATTTCTGTACTGAAAGTTACGAATGATGATTTACTTTAGTGTTGATGAAGAAAGAAAAGACAAGTGACATGTGACTATTCCATGCCTGCACCAACCATATAAACTCGGACATCACCTGTACATGATAACATTCTGTTTGTCTACTGTTTGAGTCCTGTTGATGAATGTGTCTGTCTCCGATCACTGAATGGAGATATCAAAATGAGGTTGGAGTTACAGACAGAAAGTGCCATGTTTAAAAATCTTTCTATCCAAAGCTCAGTTTCTGGTGACCATGTGTATAAATTTCTCTTCTGTAGTACGACAGTTCACTTGTGCAGAATTTTTGTTGGCTCTTTCAGAGAAATGGATGGATAATGTGTTTTGACAGTAGGAAAATCCATCAACCCAGTGAACTGTTTGTATGTTGCTGCAAGCTGTGATTTACTTTTCACAAATATTTTTATGATGAAAGTCTAATGCAGCACTTCATTATAAGCATAGAGTTATTTGAAAATAAAATTATCCTATTTTTCTAAAATGATAATTTTTTTGGTATTCTTTTCATAATTTTATGTTTATGCCTCAGGTGGGAGCAACTTCGTGGTTGTGAACCAATATCCCTGATTCCTATCAGCTTTCTTTGTAATCGGACATTTTGGAGTTTCATGTTTCTTTTTACTTTTATATTCACATGCATGTTTTGTTTCTTTTAAGCTTAGTTTTTGTTACTTGCTGCAATCAGGTGTGTCTGTCTGAAGCACAACTCAAAGCACTGATTGTATTAGTTTGAGTTATGTAGTAGGTGGCTGGCTGGTAGGTGGGCACTCTTGTCTGGTTTGTTTCTCCTTCCCTATCAAACATCTATTGTCCTCATCTCTCCTTCTGTTCTTTGTATGTTATCCTGTATTAACACCTTTAATCTCCGGCACTTATATAACCTATTTGTGTTGCAAGTGCCATAAAACTCTAACTACTTCTGTGTTAGTCTTACATTGCCTGGAAAAGGCATGATCACAGACATAGATATGGGTAGTTGGCGGGTGCTCTGGTGTTGTTTGCTCCTTCTTTCCTATAAAAAATCTATCGTCTCCCTCCTTCTTTTTTTGTGTTTGTTACCCTCTTGTAACACCTAATCTGCGGCACTTATATGACCTTATTGTGTTGCAAGTGCCGTAAAACTCTTAGTAAAACTTTTTTTTAAAACAACAGATATAGATAACGGATGGACAGGGGAAACACTGGGACTTCCAGTAGCTGCCCTCACTCTTTTGGGAGACACTTTGCTTGTGCATTGTTTATAGAATGATTAAATTTCGTTCATGTTAATTTTGGGGATGCCATAAGAAATGAGCAAGGCTTTCACATTCCTTTCAGCACATTTGAGAGGCAGTACCTCCGATTTAGCATGAATTGTTGACTCAACAGAGGTGATCAGATGGGGAGCCATGAAAATCTCCCGAACAGTCTAATAATCTTGTTGAGGATTCGAATCTCAACCAACTGCACTGCAGTCCAGCATGGTGTCTAGTAAGCTAGCAGTGTGCTATGTGCCGTCTGCAAGGGAATGTTTACCTGCAGGTAGATGGCAACGGCGGGGCAAGAAGGGGGGGGGGGGCACAGTCATGTACTGAAAGTGAAAGGCAGGGTACGAACGAAAATGAGAAACGGTTTTGAGACATCAGGCATTCTTTATTTTAAAACAAATACATCAAACGTCAGATTCAAAATATTCTCTCGAAGGCGTTCTTCATTCCATCTCTGATATTGCCAAATGTGTCTTTGACTTGATCCGTAATCTTTTCCTGCAGATCTTTTTCGTTACACCTGCATACCACCTGAGCCTCATCGTCACTTTCTGGTCGTTGCACGTCGGAGTCCGTCTCGGTTTTGGCGTCAGGGTCAACGACCTTGCTCTTGTCGCCTGCGTCAGCATCAGCGACTACCTTCTTGTCGTCTACTTGAGCATCAGCGACCACATTCTTGTCGTCTACTTTAGCGTCAGCGACCACATTCTTGTCGTCTACTTTAGCGTCAGCGACCACATTCTTGTCGTCTACTTTAGCGTCATCGACCACATTCTTATCGTCTGCTTCTTTCGGCTCTGTTGGCGCTTCTCTCTTGACCAGCTTGGAGAACACACTTGAGTAGCTGAAGTGGTCGCCTTTGACTGTGATAGAGAGGGTGTCGCCCGCCTTGCAGCAGAAGACACGTTGGCCGATGGTCGAAAAGGGGCCTCTAGGGGTAGCCTCGCAGTCCTTATCCTTGAGGCAATCGTATGCTGTATTGTGGGAAGGAAAAGGAATGTCCAATTAATGCTGGAACGAAGAAAGGAGACAAGGAAGAAACAGAGGGTGAATAGAAACCGTGGAAGAGGGAAAGAAAAAGAAAGACATACAACTTAGAGAAAACACTCACACCCCCCACACCCCCACCCACACACACACAAACACACACACACATACGTACACACAGTCACACGCAGAGAAAGAGAGACAGACAGACAGATAGACAGAGAGAGAGAGACAGATACACACACACACACACACACACACACACACACACACACACACACACACAGAGAGAGAGAGAGAGAGAGAGAGAGAGAGAGAGAGAGAGAGAGAGAGAGACAGTTTGTTACTAAGATGCACATATATAATTTAAAGCTGGCTAAGACCATGAACGAACTAAAAATAGGTTTGATAATTTGATAAACCTGTTTCTGGCCCGATCCGACTAGGGCGTATTCGCTGTCGGTGTCAGCTCAGTATATTTTAATTCACAATTAGCAACATCTGTTGTGTCAATTCATTACTGGTTAATGCATAATTAGCAATGGGTGCCTGTGATAGGGTTATCGGTTAATATCGTGTTTTAGATATTTGAAAAGAGTTTACATCTCCCTCGGCTTCTTTTTTAAAATTATTATTAAAATTAAAGAGTTCTAAGGCGAGGCTTTCTTGTCGACTGAAGAACAGCTCCGTACTTTTTGGTGATTTCGAACTTCGATTTTTAAAATACCGGTGACAGACTTAAAGCAAGAAACTTGGAAACTGCGTAGGTATAAGCTAATAAGTGTGTGTTTTATGTGTGTGTGTGTGTGAGTGTGTGTGTGTGTTTGTTTGTTTGTTTGTGTGTGTGTGTGTGTGTGTGTGTGTGTGTTTGCTTGTTCGAGAGAGAGAGAGAGAGAGAGAGAGAGAGAGAGAGAAAAGAGAAGAGAGAGTATGGGAGAGGGAGAGTACCGTAGTAAAAGAAATAAACGGCCACTCAAGAAACTTGCTTTTCTGTGATTTTTCTTCAGGAACAGATCTGAAACGGACATGGGCAATTATGGTTGGCTGCTCATTTCTCTTCTCGAATATCTTTTTAAAAAAATAAAATAACCCTGCAATTATTATCCTGACCTTTTCCCGTCATCCATCTGTGCAACTTTTCTGCGTAAATTATTGCAAAAAGTGAGAGGCCCTCTTTCACAATGAAATAATGTATATTTATTATTCAAATACATACACATGACGTGCGTCAATATTATCGTTAGAAACGTCCCGCAGACCAAAGGCATTGGGTTTCCAACATCAACATATAAAGATTGAGTCCTGATCCATGGATATAGGATCGATTTTTTTAGCCACCAAACACGCGAGAAATGAAACCACTGCAACCTGATACCCACCCCACCCTTTGCAAACGACCTAAAGTAGTTGTTAAAAGTAAATGCTAAAACAACTCCTACACGTATCTTATGGTGCCTTTGTACATAGATTATAATCAATAGGAGGATTCGGTTCGGCGGAAAAAACAAAAGTTGTCTTCTATCACATTATGATATCCCAAATGGTTTCAAGTATCGAAATGAACCCCTCCCCCTTTCTCATTAAAGGATGTCACCGATTAGAATTTAGACTTTACGTTTATAGCAAATCGTTGTTCAGTAATTAACAGACTCTTATGGCTATTGGGTTTGACGTTTACTATATCAAGAATTCCGTTGCTTTCTTGCGTAATAGACTTCAAATGTACCCGTTGAATATTATGTTCGTTTAAAACAGTTTTTAATGTCCATTTCCAAAGAAAGATTAAAAAACTGAAAACAAAAAAATGGATGAGACTATACATAGAGACACTCTAAAAACAAAGAGTTTGATTTTAAGTAGCTAAACACGTTTTGTGTTCATGAATCCATGCTCTTTGTCTTTGTGTCTTAGAGTTAAAGGTGAAAATCAAGAGTGACCAGCAGAGCAATTCCGCATCTCTTGAATCCTATTTGGAAATGGAATTTTACGACCTACTTCTCAAAGCAATACCCGCAAGCCAGCACGAGAAAGGTCAGATTCGAACACGAGTGAGGTCCGAATGTTCCTATTCTTTTGACACTGCTTTCCTCTCAGTCCATCGTGGCTGATAGGTGGACCAAGTGATCCAGCATAATATACACACACACACACACACACACACACACACACACACACAGAGAGAGAGAGAGAGAGAGAGAGAGAG